GCACAATTGACTGCAGAAACCCAAGACAACCCAATAGGAGACTACAATTTACCAGAACAGGACTAGCCTGCAAATCTGAATAGTCTAAAAAGACTGCTAATACCAAAACAGTCTAATAAGGAGCTGTAAACATGACAACACAAAAACAAACAACCCAAAGAGACAGGGGGATGTCGCCATCCTGCCTCGGCGGAGGGGCATCTCGGGCTGCATCCAGCCTAGCCCATGTTCCCCCAGATTCTCTAGAGACCCAGACAGATTTACGTAAGGCGCCATAATTAAATCACCCAAACAGAAAATTTGGAAACCTGTGACCCGAGTTTTTTCTCTTTTACTCTCACTGGCTGAGAGCCCCAGGGCGGAGGGACATCTTCTCGTTGGCCTTCCCCTGGAGCTGTAAGCCGGTGGTGGGTCCAGGCAGGGGGTCCAAGGGCGAGGGCAAGGATCTCGCTGGGAGCCTCCAAATGAAATAACTTAGGGGACCTGGAAAAATAGAGTCGGACCCCCCCCCACTTAGGTTAATTAATTGGTAATTTATTTTACCTGCCTCAGGGGCTGCTGCTCCAATAGTCAGCAGCCCAGGTGTGAGGGTGAGTTGCCTTTTATAGGCTTTGGGCAAGCATATTACAGAAGCAAAATGTGGCTGGTTAAGGGGGGGGTTACAACTTGGGTAGTCATGGATACAGCAATGGACAATAATTAATACAGCTTCAGTTGACAAGGAATACATCTCATATCACAATGGTTATGATTATACAACAGTAATTAATCAAGTCTCAGTGAGTTTTCCACCATTGTTCATCTACTGAGAACTTGGGGGTTTTGTGAAACTTGGGACTTTTCTTCCTTGTACCTGAAGCTTGTTCTTGGCAACCCTAGGGGAAGGAGGGGGCCTGGGAACGTGGCTGGGAAGCACTGTTCTCAGCCGCCATGGGGGGACGAGGGACTTGCCTTGTTCCCCAGTTGACTCTGGGGGGAGAGGGGAGGAGGAGGGAAATGGGCTGGAGGGGGGCAGACAGGTGAGGGCTGGGGAACAGAAGTGGGCAGGGGAAAGAGGGCTGGGTTACAACACCTTAAAAAAAGAAACTAAGAAAATAATCCCATTTATAATAGCTACAAAATAAAATAAAATAACTAGGAATAAACTTAACCAAAGAAGTGAGAAATCGCTAATAAAAACTATAAAGCCTTAATGAAAGAAGTTGAAGACACAACAAATTAAAAGGCTATTGCATATTCATGGAGAGAAAAAATCAATATTGGTAAAATGTCCATACTACCTAAAGCAATTACAGAAGTAGAAAAAATAATCTAAAAATTCATATGGAACCACAAAAGACCCATAATAGCTAAAGCCATCGTAAGAGAAAAGAATAGAACTGTAAGAATCATGTTACCTGACTTCAAATTATACTAGTAACCAAATCAGCATGGTGGTGGCATAAAAACAGACACCGATACCAATGGAACAGAATAGAGAACCCAGAAATAAATCCACACTTCTATAGTGAAGTTTTACCTTCAACAAGGTGCCAAGCACATACAGTGGGAGAAAGACAGTCTTTTCAATAAATGGTACTGGGAAAACTGGATATTCCTATGCAGAAGAAGAGTACTAGACCCTTATCTCTCACCATATACAAAGATGAAACCAAAATGGATTAAAGACTCAGATCTAAGACCTAAAACTATGAAACTCCCAAAAGAAGAAATGCTTCAGGACACTGGTCTGGGCACAGACCTTTAGTAAGACATGTACACACAAAGCACAGGCAATCAAAGCAAATTGAACCAATGGGATCACATCAAGCTAAAAAGCTTTTGTACAGCAAAGGAAACAATCAACAAAGGGAAGAGATAACCCACAGAATGGGGAAAAAATATTTGCCTAATACCCCTTCAAAAAGGGTTTAATAACTAGAATACATAAGGAGCTCCAACAACTCAGTAAGAAAAAATCAAATGATCTGATTTTAAAATGGGCAATGGATCTGAATAGATAATTCAGAAAAGAGAAATGGCCAAAAGGCATATGAAAATAAAGCTTGATATCGTTAGCCATGAGAGAAATGTGAATTAAAACTACAATGAAATATCATCTCACCCTGGTTAAAATGGGTTTTATCAGCTTGGCATCTGTAGCTCAGTGAGTAGGGCGCCGGCCACATACACTGAAGGTGGTGAGTTCAAGCCCAGCCCGGGCCTGCTGAACAACAATGACAACAGCAACCAAAAATAATAGCCGGGTGTTTTGGTAGGCACCTGTAGTTCCAGCTACTTGGGAGGCTGAAGCAAGAGAATCGCTTAAGCCCAAGAGTTTGAGGTTGCTTAGCCTCTCAAGAGGCTATAG